TGGGCAGTTTGAAATCCGTGCCCTAGCAGTACAAACGTCTCCACTTCAAGCGAGGCTCGAAAAGTTGCCGTAAGACCAATGGCCGGCACAACAATGGCAATGATGAAACCGAGGCCAGTGACAAAAACGGCATCTGCACAACCTGTCAACGAGCTGACATCCACGGCCGACACACGGGACTTGACGCTTATCGGGAGGATGAGTGAGTCAAGGAGGTTCCAGGTTCCCTCTTCTGTGACTTCTGCTACGTATAGACAGTTGATCAGGACTTCCTGGTGGACATGAAAGCAGAGGAGAAAGAGACCGACCCTGGTTGAACCAGAAGGAGTGGAAGGCAGCGTGATAAGACAGACTGCCAAGGGTTTAGTGCCTTCGGAAGCAGACTTGCGCCAGAGGGGCACTACGTCTGTGGAGGGAGTACGCAAGACAAATACCAGGGCAGTGCCACGGCTAGTCAGACAAGTAGCAAGGCTAGGCGGCTCCCGCGCAGAGGAACGCGCGGTCACAAAATCAATGGTTTGCTCGTCCTCAGACAAGGAGGCGGTGGCACGCGGAACACATAACACAGTGCAGTCTTGTGGACGATCAGTCTGGGATGGTTGGGTGAACAAAGAGGGAAAGAACTGGGATTGGAAGAGAGAAAGGGGGATCTCTTCTTCTTCCACGCGAAAGGATGGGGACGGAGATCTGCACGCAGGCGATGGAGAAGAAGGACCCAACGCGGCATCCGTCTGCGACTCTTCTTGATGTTGTCGAGGTTCGGTTGTTGAAGAGAGCGCGGACGTTCGTCTGCTTAATTTGGCCTCTTGTTTCTAAACAGACGCAATTGTAATTACTGAAACAGCCTTGACAGTAACATACTTCAAGCTTTTTCCGCTTTTCGGCCAAGGCTTTCCTTAGTTGTTGAACCCGTCTGAGAACCTCTGCGTTGTCCATTCTACAGTCCGCCGCTCGACCCACTTCAAGTCACTGTTTTAGTAAGATATAAAAATATGGCATTATACCAAATGGGCATATGTAGATTTCAAGTATTGAATATATAACCCAAAACAGAAAAAAACTGAAACAAGAGCCATCGTCTGTCTTAAAATTCTTCTACCCAGATTGTTCTGCCAGTTTCCACAAAGGTGGCCGGCATAGTAAAGGTCAACCTAGAAGACAAAAGATAAGAACTGTGTACAAAAGTGTTTTATGGAAGGGCAACTTAAATTTATTTGTTGACAGGATACAATATTATCTGGGCGCGATTGGAAGGTTGGATTGTTCATTGGATAGCCTCGGTACTGGTTTATTCGATGGATGCATGATGGGATGCGTGACATCGAGGCCCAGACTGTGAGAGCTGGGGTACGAGATGCTGTCACTATCCGCCTGTTGCTATTTTAAATCGTGGTCAAATGTAGGTTGTGACCACGTAGCGTATGATGGAGTGCGTCACATGGAGACCCTGGGTGTGAGAGGACGGGTACGAGATGCTGCCCCTGTCCTCCTGTTGTACTAAAATCCAAGTCAAGTGTAGGTTGCGACCATAACTATCAGCAACCGACGGTTGCCGACTTCGCCGCCACATTCGATTCATCCATCGTGAGTCCCTGTAGCCTATAATGGAACTGGATGGAGTGCCGACCAAGCTCATTGCCATAATTAAGGTCTACTATCGGTCTATCACTGCACGAGTCCTGGTCCACAACAATCTCTCTCAACCGTTCGATATCCGGTCTGGTGTCGGACAGGGCTGCGTCCTGTCGCCCATTCTGTTTAACTACGTCATTTACTGGATTCTCGGGAAGGA